TGTAATCTTCAAGCCTGTGGTTAGCGTTGGTGAGACAAAGTAACACTATTTAGGGACTCTGCTACATTACGTTCCCAGCGTGGTTCACAGACTTAACTGCCAAGAGCAGAAGGTCAGGCTGAAGAGGAGCCCATCAGCTAAGCACCTTCATCCATGGTAGGACAGGGGCAGCACCCCAAAGGTCTGCAGGATGCTCTGGCTTGGCTGGGGAGCCAACCACCAGGAGTAGCTTCTGTGACGACCGCTCCTGACCAGGAGCCCTGGCTGGTCAGCAGACCAAGTCCTTGGCCACCCAACTTCAAAGAAGTGATGCCTTGTGCCCCACCCATTGCCCACTGTGGCCAGAGGCAGGGAGGGTACCATTTCCCAAACATGAATGAAGCAATAGTCCAAAAACTCATTTAAAGCCCAGGCAAAATCAAAGGCACTGGGTTTCTGGTCTCTGTAACTGAGCAGAGGTCCTTTAGCCATCTACGACATCTGAGACAGTTTGGCAAGACTGTGAGTACAAGGCACATGCCTCGCTCCTGCCAAAAGACACATCCCAGTACCGAAAGCCACCACCCAGACTCAGGCCTAGCTCTGGGCCTACACCCAGCACAAGAAGAGAACGGAGCACCCACCAGTCGATGCAAGGACCACAGGGACATTTGGAGCACCAGGTATGACACAGAATCACACATGCAAGGCTCATTGTGTTTCTTATGCCTGACATTTGCAAGGTCTCAGGCCACCAGGGAGGAGGGAGGAATGGAAACACACATAGAGAGAGGAAGGAAGAGGCAAGAGGGAAGGAGAGACAGAAGAAAGAGAGAGGCAGAGGAAGAGGGCAGCAGGAGAGTCATCTGAAACTACTAAGCACCAGCAGGAAAATCTGTGAAACAAAGCAAAAAGAAAACGGCCTAAAGCTTGACAACATCTCCCAAGAGCCATCTCGCACTCGGGGGATCAGGCCTAGAACTTGGGGCTCTGGCAGCACTGAGGGAAACCATACAGAGCACAGTGGCAGGTTCAGCTGCTTCCCTAGTTGGCGCAGACAGAGGTCTGAAGGGTCACTGCGTCCCTGAGTTCAGGCCGGGGCCAACAGAGAACCGCAGACAGCTCCTGGCCTGAGCTCAGCACCTCCTTGCCGAGGGTAAGAGCTGTGCGTCCTTCAGGGTCCCGCTCTGACCACGAATTCCCACCATCCCACCCTTCCAACAGGCCTGAGAGCTGTCCTCGCACTGTAGCGATCGTGTCGCGTGCCTCCTCGGCCGTGTAAGCAACCAATCCCCTCTTGCTCTGCTCTTCTGTTTCCTCACCTGGAAAG